GACTTTTGAAAACTGATGTTTTTATTCTCTAAAAAGGCTTTTTTGCTCTGAAGAATATCGTCAAACACATTTTCCTTGTCCATTTTGCCTAAAATATAAAGAAAGGAAATTTTCAAATTTTTGACCAAAACCGTGGACTACCAATCTGCAAAAATGTAATATTTCGGCTTTTTAAAATCGATGTTTATATTGTCTACAAAGCCTTTTTGCCGTGAAGAATATCGTCTAACGCATTTTGCTTGCCTATTTTGCCTAAAATAAAAAGATTAAACAATTTCAAACTTTTAACCAAAACCATGGACTAACCCCTTTTAAAAAAATGCAATTTTTCGAGTTTTTAAAATCGGTGTTTTTATTGTCTAGATAGGTTTTTTTTTTCTATTACGAATATCGTCAAACACATTTTCACTGCCTATTGTACTTAAAATTATAAAAATTGGAAAATTTTCAAATTTTTAACAAACACCATGGGCTAACCCCTTTGGAAAAAAGCAGTTTTTCGACTTTTTTAAATTGATAGTTTTATCTAAAAAGCCTTTTTTTCTATTAAGAATATTGTCAAACACATTTTCCTTAGCTATTTTGCCTAATAGAAAACGACGGAATAGTTTAAAACTTTTGAAGAAAACCATGGACTAACCCATTTTTTTTTAAAAAATGCAATTTTTCGAGTTCTTAAATTCGATGTTTTTATTGTCTAGAAAGCTTTTTTCGCCGTAAAGAATATCGTCAAACACCAATTCCATGTTAATTTTACCTAAAATAAAAAGATGAAAAAGTTTTAAATTTTTGACCAAAACCACGGACTAACCCCTTTGGAAAAAAGCAATTTTTCGACTTTTTAAAATCGATGTTTCTATTGTCTAGAAATGCTCTCTTTTCTAAAGAATATCGTCAAAAACATTTTCCTTGCCTATTTTGCCTAAAATAAGTGCAGGAAAATTTTCCAATTTTTGACCAAACCATTGCCTAACCCCTTTGGAAAAGCACAATTTTTCGACTTTTTAAAATTAATGTTTTTTGATTGCCTAATAAGTCTTTTTTGCTGTGAGGAATATTCTTAAACAAATTTTCCTTGTCTACTTTGCATAAAATAAAAAGATGGAAAATTTTCATATTTTTGACCCAAACCAAGAACCCCTTTGAAAACATGAAATTTTTCGACTTTTTGAAACTGATGTTTATATTGCTTAAAAAGCCTCTTTTGCTGTGAAGAATATCGTCAAACACATTTTTCTTGCTTATTTTTCCTAAAAAAAAGATAACAAATTTTAAAATTTTGACAATGACTAAGGACCAACCCCTTTGGAAAGTGCAAGTTTTCGACTCTTTTTTTGCTGTAAAGAATATTGCCAAACACTTTTTCCTTCCCTATTTTCTCTAAAAAAAAGAAAGATAATTTTTAAATTTTCGGCCAAAACCATGGCCTAACTCGTTTGGAAAAATGCAATTTTTCATCTTTCCAAAATTGATGTTTTTATTGTCTCGAAATGTTTTTTTTTTTCTAAAGAATATCGTCAAACACATTTTCCTTGCCTATTCTGCTTAAAATATAAAGTGCGAACATTTTCAAATTTTTGACCAAAACCATGGACTAACCCTCTGGAAAAATCCAATTTTTTTACTTTTTGAAATTGATGTTTTTATTGCCTAAAAAGCCCTTTTTGCTGTGAAGCTGATATCGTCAAACAAATTTTCTCTGCCTTTTGTTCCAAAAAAAGATAGTAAATTCTAAAATTTTTGACTTACAGCATGGACTAACCCCTTTGGAAAAATCCAATTTTTTGATTTTCTAAAATCGATGTTTTTATTGTCTAGAAAGCATTTTTTCTATGAAGAATATCGTCAAAGACATTTTCAAAAGTAGGTTGAGTAGGTTGCTTGCCTCTTTCACCGAAAATGAAAAAAGGAAAATTTTAAATTTTTGACCAAAACCAAACCAAAAAAGCTTTTTTCGCTGCGAAGAATATCGTCAAACACTTTTTCCTTGCCTATTTAGCCTAAAATAAAAAGATGGCTTATTTTTAAAGTTCTACCCAAAACCATGGACTAACCCCTTTGGAAAATTGCAATTTTTCGACTTTTTAAAATTGATGTTATCATTGCCTGGAAAACCTTTCTTTGCTATAAAGAATTTCTTCGATACATTTTCTTTGCTCTTTTGCCCAAAATAAAAACATAGAAATTTCAATTTCTTCACCAAAACCATGGACACACCCCTTTGGAAAAATTCAGTTTTCGAGTTTTCAATATCGATTTTTTTATTGTGTGTAAAGTTTCTTTTTTCCATGATGGATATTGTCAAACACATTTTCCTTGTCTATTTTGAATAAAGTAAAAAGACAATATAAATTTTCAAAATTTTGACCAAAACCGTGGACTAAGCCCTTTAATACAATGCAATTTTTCGACTTTTTTAAATTAATATTTTTATTGTCTAAAAAGCATTTTTTACTGTCAAGAATTTTATCAAACACATTTCCTTGCCTATTTTTCGTAAAATAAAAAGATAGAAAAATTTTTAAACTTTTGACCCCAAATTATGGACTAACCCCTTTGGAAAAATGCAAATTTTCAAGTTTTTAAAATCTATGTTTTTCTTGCATAGAGATTCCTTTTTTTGGATAAAGAATATCATCAAACACATTTTCCTTGCCTATTTTGCTAGAGTAAAAAGATGGAAAATATACCAAAACCATGGACTAACTTTTCAGGAAAATGCAATTTTTCGACTTTTTGAATCTATGTTTTTATTGTCTAGGAATCCTTTTTTCGTTAAGTCTATCGTTAAACAAATATTTTGTTTAATGTGTTCATGGACGCTTCTTTTTTCACCGCCCCTCATTTACACCTGCCTAATTTGCTAATTAGGGCCTGTTTACATGGAGTTGAGGGACCCCAGTTAGGTGAGGTAACCCCTCCTAGGTGGGGTAATTAACCCGCCTGTCCATATAATCTCTCATTTTAATTTAGTCACGTGATAAGTGGGGTGACCCACCATATTTTACCTCACCTATCTGGGAGCAGGCCCTTAGTAAAAAAACTGAGTATTATTAACCAGAGCTTCGCTTTTAACCGTGGCTGAGTCTTTATATTAGAGAACGCATTGTTTTCGAACGAACACGGGATACAGAACCGATACCCACGCGCCGTCTTTAACCAAACATCTGGTGGATTAAGTTGCATTATTTGCATCATACGTGTATAGCTGTCGATTTGCCCGCTGGAAATTTCTATCGCCTGCCGCTGAGAAAAAATAATAACGCCGCACTGTTTATTGTCTATTTGAAGCAAATAATTCAGAAGCCTTCATCGGCGCATAATAAATCTTTCTCCTCAAAAGTAGAATTCCTAAGCTTAAAAAAGAGACCAATTATAAACCTATGTGTTGTATATTCACGGACTTAAATAATATGTAGATTAACCCATGGCTAAAGGCGAAGATCTCGTTAACTAAACACTTATAAACAAAAGAATAAAATCGTGTAAAGTCAAACGGCGACAGCAATGAGAACGGCGAAAAATTAATAGTCAAAGATCTAATTAGAAAGAAAAAACAAATTCACACATGCAGCACACTTTTTTGTACATTTCTTTGCCGTTGTTTTGTACAACTACAATGCCGTTTTACACGACTAAAACGTAAGTGACTTCCTAGTTACACGTTATCTCTTATGGAGCTCAACTATGATTTTTCGAGGCTTTCAAGTTCGCCTATAAGACAACTAAATTTTACCCAAAATGTTCTGTGCGCAACATCGGACAAAACAAGAGCTTCAATATAAAATATGCTGTGTAAAGTTGCGATTTCAAAATTCTTTGTGCAGTAGAACAGTTAAGTTAGTCTTTGAAATGTTTATCAAATTGACAATCGATCGAGAATTCCGCGCACTGAAAACTTTTATTAGAGCTTAAATTTTGCCTTAAGTTCAGAAGTTTTCGACAAAATACCTGTTACAAAGTAGAATCCTTCGTGATGTACTCTTTAGTGTGTCTAGGATTTCTAAAGCGTCTTTAAATGCCCTGGTATCTTCACTCATAACATATTAAAACTTTGATGTCATCTTGGCACCGGAGACGAACGGATCGTTGCCATGGCAATGTGGTACTTTCACATGTGAAATTTTGAATCAACAATGAAATTTCGCTCGAAAATTAAGGAGTAATCCGTCACCCATGATATTTTGTCTGAAATTCACCGGGGGAGGGGGCACTTGGGTATTTTTTGGGTGTGTATGTGCCGCCCGGGACTCAAAATTGGCACCCCGTTCTAAAAAAATTTCCCCTAAAACTGATATCCCGTTCAAGAAATGGGCCAATTTTTTATACGCCGTTCTAGAATTGGCCCTAAAACTGATACCCCGTTCTAGAAATGGGCCAATTTTTTATACTCCGTTCTGGAAAGTTTGTAAATTGAAATAGCCCTGTTTTTTTAAAAAGATATTTCTTTATTTGTTCGACTTATACATCAAATGAATGCTTCTTCATAATCAGCAACAATTTTAAGCAGAACATAAAGCTGTGATCCACAATTTTTTACACACCGTTCTAGAAAACGCCTCCGAAATGGATACCCCGTTCTAAATCAGGAGCTTCAAAATCACGACCCCTTTGGGCGGCACATACCCGTATAGGTAATGTACCGGAGTACACCCCCGGGGAAATTCAGGCGAGTTCTGCCGGTAAAAATGAAAATTTAGGTGTCACGAAACCGAGACTACAATGGGCCTTATTCACACGGCGGCCATATTGTCCCGAGAGACTGAAAAAGCTTTGTCTTACCACTTTCGACCTGGCAATGAAAAACTTGGGAGCGAAGCTAGAGACGGGTTAAACAAAGCTACTTTAGTCTCGCGGGGAAAAATGCCTGCCGTGTGATAAAGGCCCATTACATTGAAACTATTCACAACACACATAATGATATGCGAAGTTGAAATGCACCTAATTAACAGGTTTAACGTAGCAGTCGAACGGGTTCACGTGCGATTAGGTAATTCCTGATGATAAATACTGATTTGGTGTGGAAATCATTGGTGAGTTTGTCTATCGCCGACGGCTTACTAGCGATTCCCTTGATTCTTGATATCATTCATTTGTGCCTTAAGTATAGTGATACGGATTGTCCACGTATTCTTAAAGAAGTATACGGAACTATCACCTTGTTCCTCCTTTCGGTCATTGTCCTTCATCTCTCCTTACTGAGTTCAGAACGTTTCATCGCCATCAAGTTTGCCTTAAGATACCAAGCCATAGTGACCAAACGCCGAGCACGGATCGTTTCCATCGCGATGTGGCTGTGGGCTCTGGTCGTTAATGTGGCTGTTCCAGAGGTGCTTCAGAGGGCAACAGGGAAAGATTTCAAAAAGTTACGCAGACAGATGACGGCAAACAATAATACCTCCCAAGTGCTCCACATCAGATGGCATCTTGTATTCCAAGCTGTGTCAATGTTTCTTGTCCCCCTGTTGATCATTTTATGCTCGTACACATACATCTTCATAGTGTCTTACAAGCAGAGACAACTTGTCAGAGAACAGGGCCGTGACATTCCAGGAATGCCCACCGTCGAACATCACATGAAAGGTACCCGCACTCTCGCCATTGTTTTAGCGCTGTGTCTACTCAGTATCATCGCTTTGCTGGTTGTGACATCCCTCCGAATTTTCTGTGGCATATCACTCGGGCGCCGCGATCAAATGCTAATGGTGAATATCGTCTACGACTTGGCCATGTTTTTGAATGCCGTACGCAACCCTCTTATCTACGGATGGAAAAATGAAGAATTTAGAAACGCTTTTCGTAAGATGCTGAAATGCTGCTAAGTGAGCTTAGTGCGCAAACGTTGTCAAGCGTCCTAGGCCATACCCAAGATTAACTGTGTTCTTTTGTTTAAGGCAAATTGGCCGAGTATCAAGTACCAGACGATACCAAACTCCCTTTTGTAAGCCACTCAGAATCGCTCAAGAGGTTTGTACCTGCTAAATTACTGACTCAAATAAAGAGCCCTACGCAAGAATTATATGGTGTCAAATTCTTATTCATTTCAAGTATAATAATAGTATAGTGGCACGATTGTAAGTTGAAAAAATTTTATAACAAACGTATCCTTTTGCATGAGTAAAAAAAGAAACTAATTATATGTTCTATGATCAGATCTAGTGAAAAAGAGTTTTTGGAAGAGGCCCAGTGGAGGACATACACTGATACATTGCGAATTTGTCAAAATTTTTACTGTCGGCTGAGAAGTGAGACGGATTTTTAATTAAGAGCTGAGACTTAAGATCAAAGAGCTATTGATACGGCTGGGAAAAGCCAATGGTGATTCCAGCATCCCCATGTAACTCCCAAAAGTTGTAAAAGAAAAAGCTAAACAATTGCTTATGCAGATAACATGGTAAAGAAGCAAAATTTGCCCACAAAAGTTTACAACGTATTTTAAACATTCTTACTAGTCTCTTGGTATTATTTACTAGTCTCTTGGTATTATGCAGTGAATACGCTACTTACATTTCATTTACAAAAAACAAATCCAAACAACGCATGTACCCTGTGGATACACGGTTCAAAGAAGATCTGTTGGGAGCCGCGGGAAGGGTGTGATTCCCATATGAAAATGATGGAACTCGCCTCCTCGCTTAGAGTTGATCATGGATTATGCATGTAACCAATATAACCGTAGAGGTATTACTGTGAATTGTCAGTAAAGAAATATTAAACTATGTAAAACAAACAACTGCCTTATAACAAAGGGAGAACAGTTGTGACCAAATTGCGAAAAAAAGTGAGATTTGTAATTTTTGCAGCTTCCGTTAAAATTGTAAAATCGGCAGCGCCACTTTGAGGATTTGTTGCTATTTACATAACAAAGGGGAGCAAGTTGTGAAAATAGCAGAGGACTGACGAAAAATCGAGAAATTTTTACATTTTGCAATTGCCGTTAAAATTGTAAAATCCGCAGCGCCGTTTCTCGTAAGCTCATCGCGAAAAATCCTTAATTTTTTAATTTTGTAGTATTCGCAACGTCATCGCGGAAAAATGTTAGGTTTGCAAACTTTGCAGTTTTCTCGAGGCTATCGCGAAAAATCGTAAATTTTGTAAATTTCGTAGCAAAGTTCAATCCTGAACATAAGTGTCCGCGAGTAGGGTTTTGTTTGGCAAGCATTGAATTAGAAGAGTGGAAAAATGAGATCGTATTTTTTAAAAATCTAACCGAAAAAAAATTATATATTTCGGTAAATCTGAATCCGAAGAGATCATGATCACCCGTGTAGGCTGCCATCTTGGACGACGTCACAGGTCTCCAGTAGCACATTAAATGCCAAGTCTAATAAAACGCTGTAATGGAAGGAAACCCAATCGGGGATTTAAATTCCCTCCGGTATCACGGTGGATACGAGTTTGCTTTTCCACCGGTCAGGGTATTAATAGTTGATTACCATTTGTGATTTATTTAATGTTGTGAGTCGTTTTACCAAACTATGGGAAAAGATCGAAAAAGCGGCTTGCTATCATCTTAATAGTGCAAATTCGGTGTCCGAGAGGTCAACACCTCGAACTAATTATCGGTTCGTCCAGTCGGGTTCGAGCCTTCTCATACCTGGTTGTCACGGCATTAGACAAGAAAATTTGCTACACCTTTGTCTCTCATCACCTAGGGCTACAGATGGGCACTGGAGGTTAACCTTGCCATGGCGTTTCTACTTAATCCTTATATCTAAATTTTGGAATCCACTGCTTGTGATTTATCCCCAGGGGTTACTCCCTGTAGTGGCCTTAATAGGGAGTCCGCTCGAACGGGGTACCTTTTTCAAGCTTCAGGTATATAAAAGGGTAGGGATTTCACCTGGCTAGTTGAAGTGTAGAAAAAGATAGGGAAATCTGTCATTTCGGCCGCTAAAAGTACCCAAAAGGGCTAACAGAGATACATTTTTTGGCTGTGAAGAAGTCAAGAAAACTCCCCGGCTTAGTTATTTTTTCACAAATAAGGACAGTGCATTTACAGCGGTTCAAAGCAATGCTGCGTCCTAAACTAGCTATGTGAAAGGGGTACTATTAATTGTCAGTAGAAGGGTATACGAAAGGGGTACCTTTTGTGTCAAAAATAATATATGTGGTAATGAAAGGTTAAGGCGTTTGACCTCGGGGCGGAGCCTCCTTGTATAAAAATTTGTTGAGTGTGCCCGGGTGAGGGTATTTATCAGTCCGCTGCTCAACAGCTGGTCGATACTAAGAAGGTATTGTCTTTTTCCAAGACAGAGCTGAATTACTTGAATGATATATAGATTTAGCCAGGGCTAAAAGCGAAGCTCTCGATGATATTTATAGTTTGTTCAAACAAAATATAAAATGGTGCAATGCTAAGCGGCGAAGGCAACGCCGGAGAACAGTGAAAAAACAACAATATGTCTATGTAGCAAAAAAGCAACTCACTTTTTTTGTACATTTCTTTGCCGTTGTTTTGCACGACTCGCAACGTGGAACTTCCTGAGAAACTTCTTAGTTACACGTTGTCGCACGTGTTCTCGTTCTTTTTCTTTTTTCAGTGTCTCTCATTTTCACCTTGCATTGGTGGCCGCTAGCATTTCTCATTTTCTTATCTCACCGCCGCTACAAAATTTTCATGTTGTTCTTCCAACAAAAAAATGTCTTGTTTTTTTATCTCTCGCTCTAGATCTCTGTCGCCATTCTTCTTGGTTGAGCTTCGCTGGCCTGCCGCCTACTTTCTCTAGCCCTATATTCCAAATTTGTGGACAAGACAAGTAATCTAAGCTTAATACTTTAGACAACACGGATACAGAAACAATTTCCGCTTTCCATTTTCGTCTTTATTGACTCTTTAGTTGTCTCTGCTTTACAGACTGAGGGTGGCTATGCGATTTCCCGCCAAAATAACCTTGAGTTGCATTTGGGTTGCCATAACTGTTGATTGAGTTATTTTACCTTGGTATGACTGTTATTGTTACATTGGACGTACGGTCACGTGATTGCCAAAATTTCTCGGACGGGTAGATTACCACATTTTCTTACCCATGGTGCTTCGCTGCGTGCGCTTCTCGCGCGAGAGCTCCGCTTCAAATTTTGTATCCAGCTCTTATCTTTACAAAAAATAACTGCTTTCCATGACTGAAAACGTCCTCTTATTGCAATATGCTGAACAAACAGAGCCTCCTCGTTTATTAATTGCATGTCTACGCCCTGTGGCACTTTGTTTTTTGCGAAAGGGCGTTTTTTGTATTATATTTTACTAACACTAATTTTTGCGATGATTTGAACCTGGTTTTTCTTATTCTTTTTCTCAACGTTTTGTGAATTCAAGATGTGTATAAATTAAAAGGCTTCCTTTTTACAAATTTTCATCAAAACCTGGTATAGAATGAAAGTTAGTTTGCCAGGTGGTTTCTTCTAAAACAAAAAGACTACTTGTCCTCGTTTTCTAAAAGTCAAGTTGTCATAGAAAAACTCGAACAAGATAGTGGCATCCTTCCCGAAGGCATGCAAACCCTGCAGGCATCTCGTCAGTATAATTCGCGAGTGTGAGCTACGATTGATGCTTTCAGAGCGTATGACAATTTACATGATCCTTGCTATATCCAGCGAGTTTACACTTACCATCGAGACATATTTGAGATTCGAGGAATTAAATGAACTTTGGAAGGTGTTACGCCAAAACGTGAATGGTTGATAAAAGTAACATCTGTAACAGTAACATCTGTAAGCCTGAAGAAGGCTGGTATGGCCAGCCGAAATATTGTTATGAAAAAACAATGCACGTTGTTCTGAATTGGCTTTGCAGTAAATAGTCTTTGGACTTGTCGTTCTTGATGAAAGCTGCATGAGTTAAGAAGTGGGCCGCAGTTTGCAACCAGGCGAACTCATAACGCCGCTATATTAACGCGAGCAATACCTGTTACTCGAAGGTACTCTTAACTTTTCGATCCGGAGCTGGATTTTATTGCAGTATAGGTTTGATGGATATCAGCAAAATTATAAACTTTTTAAAATACCGATTTTTTAAACCTAAAAATCAGCAAAATAGACACCTTTAATAGCAAAACATTACCTCTAGTTTGGAGAGACTTCCCCAGGGGTCCAGAGGCCCGTTTCTGGAAAGTCCCGGTAACTCTTCGGGCCCGAAATCAAATATTCAAATGGAAATATAAAGAATAGGAGCGCCTGTCCTGGCTTGCAAACTACTCCATTTTGTTTCATTAACTGATTGTTTTATCATGTTAGATGCAAAAATATTGAAACCTCAATCTTTAATGTAAACGGAGACAGCTTACCGGGCTCGTTAATTATCGGGACTTTCGAGAAACGGGCCCCTAGTTACTTGTGTTTTACTCGCTTCGGGGCCTTCCATCTCGAAGTCAGGCATGGCAGATATCGCTTCAGGCGCTTTTTCATTTTTTTCCTTGTTATTTGACATGTACACCAGAAGAAGAATCGTGAACAAGGCCAAATATATTTTCATTTGTCTCGCATGTTCTTGTTTTACCTGTATTGCTCGCAACCTTGCTTCGGAAACATTGCTTCGTCAAGTCTTCATTTGACTGAAAAGTTTTTTTAAATTATGTTTTCGTTTAAGTTTAAAATATGATAAATATAATATGATGATTTTAATCGCCTTTTTTAAGCTTATGTGGGCGTTCTTCATTGTCTCTATTCCGCGCCAAACTTCTTCCGCTCTTTAATAAGTTTAATTTCTTATAACTGTCGCAAGCAAGTATGAATTCACTTTATTTCTCCTTTCGAACTCATTATTTTCCTACATAATGGTTTACGCGTGTCAATTAATTTTTAATAACACAGCATCATAAAGGTAGAAATGAAAACTGACGTTTCCTAGTCGCTTGATTAATGGCTCAAAAACGAAGGTGTCGAGCCAGTGTGTCTACTTCCATGAATAAAAACAATTTCTGTTCAGCTGACAATGGTGCCTTCACTTTAATCCTCTTCTCCATTCAGTGCATATTAGAATTTAAAACGGCTATTTTAAGCCGAAACTTATCCACAGTCGGAAAGAAACCCATGCATTTTGTGCGCGTGAAGCCAGTTCTGATGTTGATATTAATAAACTGACTTGATAGGCTCTTAAATAATAATAATAATAATAATAATAACATTAGATAATAATAATAATTATTATTTTAGTAATAATATTAATGATAATATTAATTCAAAGGAGTATTTAGGAGAGGCTTTTAGATCTGTTAATGAGCTGGCACTTAGTACATGTTCGGCTGTTCCTTGTATTTCATACTCGATAAGACGCACTTACTAGTTTATGAAACTTTCAAAGCCTGCTGTTACAACTACTTTTTAATAAGTTACAAGTACTTTTTATTAAGAGTGCCACAGTTCTTTTGTTTTTCTTTCTAGGCCAAATATAAGGTTTTTTTTTATGAATTATTTGACTTTGTGCTTGTTCATTTCCCCGTTGAAAGCAGTCAGTTGTTTAATAAAACTTAGAACACAATGCGGGATAACTAGTTTTATTTCCTTAACTCTATACTACGCAATTTTGACATGTTATTTACTTTCTTACTGGATTCTCAATGAATTTGCGAAGAAATTTAGAGTTTGACGTTTTAGAAGGCAGTAATTAAGGCAGTTACCTGACATTAACCTGCATATTTTATGGACAATCGCGTTTATTTGGATTTTGGTTAATAGAAATGGTTTAATTTTACCTTTATTGCAGATGCGTCGTATTTGTTTTGACGCTATTAAAACAAAAGGAACATCATCAATAGTTGCTATCGTTATTTAGTACAATCCAACTAGTGGTCTATTATCAATGGTGCGTTCTGATTGGTTGAGCTACTAGTAGGCTATATGGACTCGAGGAATAATTGTTAACTAATATCCTTTGATCACATATATACAGAGTTGAGTTTACCTGGCCATGGCTGACTAGTTTGATTATGATGAGAAACGGAACAACAGTGGTATAAGTCAGGCGTTCGACAGCATTAGCCGCGCTATGGCACCATTTTCCTCCCGCAATTTACCAAACATAGAGGAATCCCGTCTGAACTGTACAGACAACGTATCTCCCTCCCGCAATGAATAACTATCCCTTACCGAAGTGGGAATTTATTCTATTTTTGAACGTTCATGGGATTATCACAATCGTTGCTTTGCTCGGGAGTTATTTCGTGCTTAGAGCGTTTCACAAATTTCGGAAACTGCGAACTGCTTCCAACAACATTCTGGTGAGTTTGTCTATCGCCGACGGCTTACTAGCGATTCCCTTGATTCTTGATATCATTCAGTTATGCCTTAAGTATAATGCTGCGATTCGTCCACATATGCGTATGCCTATTCTTAAAGAAGTAGACGGAACTATCACCTTGTTCCTCCTTTCGGTCATTGTTCTTCATCTGAGCTTAATGAGTTCAGAACGTTTCATCGCCATCAAGTTCGCCTTAAGATACCAAGCCATAGTAACCAAACGCCGAGCACGGATCGTTTCCATCGCTAGAGGTTCTTCAGACGACAACAGGCAAGGATCACAGAAAATATCACCGACATCTGAATACGCATGAATGTAATACAACGCACAATACAAACCAAGTGCACTCCACCAGATGGCATCTTGTATTCACTGCTGCGTCAATGTTTCTTGTCCCCTTCCTGATCATTTTATGCTCGTACACCTACATCTTCATAGTGTCCTACAAACAGAGACAATTTGTCAGAGGACAGGGCCGCGACATCACTGGAATGCCCACCATCAAGCATCACATGAAAGGTGCCCACACTCTCGCCATTGTTGTGGCGCTGTGTCTACTCAGTATTATCGCTTTGCTGGTTGTGACAACCCTCCGAGTCTTCCGTGACAAATCACTCGGGGGCCACGACAATCAAATGTTCAGACTGCACAAGATCGTCTACGACGTGGCCATGTTTTTGAATGCCATATGCAACCCTCTTATCTATGGGTGGAAAAATGAAGAATTTAGAAACGCTTTTCGTAAGATGCTGAAATGCTGCTAAGTGAGCTTAGCGCGTGAACGGTGTTAGGCGTCCTAGACCATACCCAAGATTAACTGTATTATTTTATTTAAGGCAAATTGGCCAAGTATTAGGTACCAGACGATACCAAACTCCCTTTAGTAAGCCACTGAGAACAGCTCAAGAGGTTTCTACCTGCTAAATTACTGGACTCAAGTAAAGAGCCGTACGCAGGAACTGTATGGTGTCAAATGCTTAATCATTTCATGTATGATAATAATATAGTGGCAGGAATGTAAGATTTCAAATTTTATTACAAAAGTTTCCTTTTGAGTTAAAAATGAAACTAATTATATACCTGTTTTATGATCAGATCTAGTGAAAAAAAAACTTTTGAAAGAGGCCCAGTGGAGGACACTCACTGATACATTGAGAATTTGTCAAAATTTTTATCGTCGGCTGAGAAGTGAGAGGGATTTTTGATTGAGAACTGAGACCACAGGCAGCCCAAATTCACGTTGCGAGGAAAGGATGTAAAGTAATCTACTTACCATAGGTGACGCGTGACTTTTTTGCTAGACGCGTCGGAGTCGCGTTACAGGCGATCGTTGAAGTTTGAGAAATAAAATACTGAGATCTGCGAACGCGAAATAACGTTAAATCGAATTTTTCTTTCAATGAAATAAATAAAAATGACTTACCTGCGATGTATTCATAAAACACGACGGGTGCAAGGGCGGAAATGACACGTTTACTAGGCTCTTGCACTGTGAACAAGTGAGCCCTTGCACCCGTCGTGTAAGTGCTAATTACAGGTTACTTGTGTTTTACTCTCTTTGGGGCCTTCCATCTCGAAGTCAGACATGGCAGACATCGTTTCAGGCGTTTTTTTCATTTTTTTTCCCCTTGTTATTTGACCAGAAGAAAAATCGTGAACAAGGCCAAATATATTTTTACTGGTCTCGCATGTTCTTGTTTTACATGTATTGCTCGCAACCTTGCTTCGGAAGAATTGCTTCGTCAAGTCTTCATTTGACTGAAATTTTTTTTAAATTATGTTTTCGTTAAAGTTTAAAATATGATAAATATAATATGATAATTTTAATCGCCTTTTTTAAGCTTAAAAACCACTGAACTGGGTGGTCGAAAAGTCTTTTTCAGTATTAAGCATCACTGTAATCCATTTTTATCAAAGAAATTGCTTATTGGTTCCAAACTTCGAATGACTTAAGAAAAGTGGTAAATAACTTAGTTTTGCAGCCATCTTCGGGTGTTCGCAAATTGTTTTCTTTTGATCGTTTCTTTTCGGTTTAACATGAACACCTGCGCATGTAAAATTGTGGGCATTCGTTATTATCTGTGTTCCGCTCCAAACTACTTCCGCTGCTTAACAAGTTTTGAATTTGTTTTAAATGTCGCTAGCGATTATGAATTCCATTCATTATTTTACTACTTAGTGAATGACGTGTTTCCATTTACAATAAAGCAGGACGTGTTGAGCCAGAGTGTAACTGTTGACTAATAATAAGAAAAATAATCTTAATTCTAATTATCATAATCATAATAACAGTTAAATAATAAAACGAAAGGAATTAATTCTTTGCAGCGTCTTTATACCTCGTACAGCAACGGCTTTTAGCTCTAATTTTGCTCTGGGAAACGATAAGAAGCATGGCGATTATCTCCAAAAAGATTAGCTCTATAGAAAGTCTCTTAGTAGTTCTACAATCCCAAGACTGACACTGTTTAATAAGAATTATTCATTTCCCCGTTTTAAAAAAGTCAGTTGTTTAATAACAATAAGAACAAAAAAATACTGATAATACGCGGCACGTGATAGCTACTTTTATTTCCTTAACTCTATAGTATGCAATTTTGACATGCTATTTGTTTTCTTAATGGATTTGTAAAGAAAAACTTAAGAGTTTGACGTTTAGAAGGCATTTGTTAGGGCACGTGCCAGATATAAACCAGCTTATTTGTTTGCAAACTCGTAAAGTTTGAAGAAAAATTACGAAATGTTAAGTTAAAAAAGGTTTATTATAATCATATTTTATCGTTATTCAGTATTCATTTGTATTTTGTTTTGACGCTATTAAAACTTTCAGGGAACGCTATGAATGAAAGTAGTTACCGTTATCTAATATCATAAAATGAGCCGCCAGGTCACCTGGCTATGTCTGCCAGCATTTATTTTGCCGAGTAAGTATGACAAGAAACGGATCAACAGTAGCATTATCAGGAGAGCATTATAACATTAAGTTCTGACTATAAGGCAGTGCCAAACTTTACCGACAACATGGCTGGCACAATACTCCTCCAATGAACCAAACACAGATGAATTGTTCTGGTCGAAACCATACCTCACAGAGGAAGACGTGGAAATTTATCCTACAGTTGAACTTTGATGTGATTATCACAGTCGCTGCTTTGCTCAGCAGCTATTTGGTGCTCAGAGCGTTTCACAAATTTCAAAATCTGCGAACTGCGTCCAACATCATTCTGGTGAGTTTTTCCATCGCTGACGGTTTACTGGCGCTTTCCCGAATTCTAGATATCATTCATTTGAGCATAAGGTATAATGCTACCGAAGTAAAGTATCTTTTACGTGCTCCTGTTCTTAAAGAGGTAAGCAGAACTTTCACCTTCTTTCTCGTTTCGGTCATCATTCTTCATCTCGCTTTAATGAGTGTGGAGCGTTTCATCGCCATCAAGTTCGCCTTAACATACCACACCATAGTGACCAAACGCCGATCGCGGATCGTTTCCATCGCAATGTGGCTGTGGGCTCTGGTCGTTACGATAGCTCTGCCAAAGGTACTTAAGCTAATGGGGAAAGATTTCAGAAATGCAGACAGTAATACCTCCCAAGTGCTCCACACCAGATGGCATCTTGTATTCCAAGCTGCGTCAATGTTTCTTGTCCCCCTGTTGATCATTTTATGCTCGTACACCTACATCTTCATAGTGTCCTACAAGCAGAGACAACATGTCAGAGAACAGGGCCGCGACGTTACAGGAATGCCCATTATCAAGCATCAAATGAAAGGTGCCCGCACTCTCGCCATTATTGTAGCGCTGTGTCTGCTCAGTATCATCCCTATGCTGGCTGTGACTTTCCTCCGAGTCTTCCGTGGCATTTCACTCGGAGGTCGCTGCCATCAAAAGCTACTGAAGCAAATCCTTTACGACGTGGCCATGTTTTTGAATGCGATATGTAACCCTCTTATCTACGGGTGGAAAAATGAAGAATTTAGAAACGCTTTTCGTAAGATGCTGAAATGTTGCTTAGTGCGCAAACGTTTTTAGGTGTTTAAAACTGTTTTGTTTAATGCGAATTGGCTAAGCATCAAGTACCGGCAGAAACTCATAAGGGGTTCAAACAATACCAAACTCCCTTCGGTAAGCCACTGAAAACAGCTCGAGGTTTCTATCTGCCAAATTACTGGACTCAAAAAGAGCCCTGCGCGGGAACTGTATGGTGTCAAATGCTTATTCATTTCATGTATAATAACAATATAGTTGCACGAATGTAAGCTGGTCACAGCTTGAGTAAAAAAAGAGACTATGTCTTATGATCAGATCTAGGGAAAAAGATCATTAAAAAAAAGCCCAGTGGAGGACACACTGACACATTGCGAATTTGTCAAAAAGCTATGGCTGTGAATCGAAGAAGTTGAGAAAAACCTCCTGGTTTAGTATTTTTTTCACAATTAAGATGCTAACAGTGAATTTACCCTGAAGATGGCAGTTCAAGACAAAACAGCATCCTAATTTAGGTATGTGAAAGGGGACCGGTACCATTTGTCAATAAAAGGGTATACAAAAGGGATTCCTTTTCTGTTAAAAATGGTATACGTAGTATATGAAAAGTTAAATCTTTTGACTTCGGAGCGGAGCCTCCCCGTATAAAACTTTGTTGAGTGTTCCCCCGGCGGGATTTATCAGTCCGCTGCCGGATGGCTGCTCGATATCAAGAAGGTATTGTCTCTTTCGAAGACAAAGCTGAATTACTTGAATATAAGTTGTGTATCCACCTGTTATCTTTACTAAAATAACTGCTTTTCATGACTAAAAACGTTCTCTTATTGCAATATACTGAACAAACAGAACCGTTCGCGTTTGTTAATTGCATGTTTTCCTTGTGACACTTTGTTTTTGCAAATGGACGTTATTCGTATTTTGAGGGAAATAATTTTTCCGATCTGTTTAGTTTGGTTTTTCTTGTTCTGAATTAATTTTCGCTATTCTTAGAAATCGCATTCAATTCTTATACGTTTATCTAAGTCAAAAACGGTAAAAACAACATCCGAAAATAAAATAACTAACATGGCATTGTCGTTTAAAGTATTCTAATTGGGTGTGCACAGTGTCTCTTTTTGTATGGTAGTCAACATCTATTTTGCGTCAAAACTTCAGGCTTGAATGGGCTATGTATAATTTCGACCATGGAACTAATTTTTGCGGTAGTGTTCTTTTGCGGGAGCAGTTTTTGCGCCGGATCAATCCGCGAGAATTAATTACCGCACGTAACATCATACGTGGATGACAGAAAGTCTTGAAAATTGTGGCTTTCGAATAATTAATTTCGAGCTGTTTTCGAAGTCTTTGCGATGGGTCAAATTTTCCTGTGTTTTTTTGTCTTGACCAGTCCGACTCCTAACGAAGTCTCATATTTGGCCAGTTTTCACCCTGGTCCCTTAACAGTGCTACAAATTATTTCAATATGGGAGGGTTTGGAAGTTTTAATAGAAGTTGAGGAACCAACTCAATTCAGTCACTACTAAATAATTTATTCGTTTCATTTAATACTGCAAAGAGGACTTGCGTCATTGGGTGTTTTGTTAACCATAAAATATTACCTTTCGTAACTTACAAACCTGTTACTAAGTTAATTATGTGCATGGTAATTTGTAGTTATCTTCATTTAAGAACATTATAATATTCAATATTCAGCGAAGCGCAGCTGCACGCAGGCCAGTTTAAGCAATTGTGAGCGAATTAGAAACTTAAAAGGAGACAATGCTAATTGCAATTCTAAATTTAGCAGACCTGGCAGAACATGTCCTGTAACCGAGGGAAATATTGCTACAACGAAACAGAGATGAACGTTACCTCTGAAATTCGTCTTGAAGGCCACGGTTTGACGAAGGCCGAGTCTATTATCATGATAACTTTTCATGTGATTTTGGCCGTCGCAGCCGTTTTCGGCAGCTACCTCATGCTCCGGGCGTTCCACAAATTTCACAGTCTTCGAACTGCGTCAAACGTAATCTTGACGAGTTTGTCCATTGCTGATGGATTGCTAGCCATCCCGTCAGTCCTAGACGTCGTACACTTAAATCTATACGCTTTGGAGATGGGCATTGGTCTTGCATTATGAGAAACATGAGCTCATGTTCCAGCTTCTTTCTCCTTTCAGTTATCATTCTTCACCTCGCCTTAATCAGTTTGGAACGGTCCATCGCCATGAGATTCGCCTTGCGATACCACATCATAGTAACCCATCGCCGGGCACTGATCGTTTCTATCGCCATGTGGCTGTGGGCTGCCGCCGTTTTGTTTGTTGTCCCACAGGTCCTTAAAGCATCCATCGACGATTTCGAACAGTTACGCCAGGCGATGAATCCGTATAGTAAGGCTCCTGAAGTACCCCCAAATCGTGACCTGCCTCCTTTAACTAAAGGATATCTCATATTCTTGTTGATAACACTGTTGGTTATCCCCCTAGTTATTATCTTATGGTCCTACTCCTACATCTTCATCGTGTCTCTTAAGAACGGAAGGCAGATCAGAGAACAAGCTGACATCTCAGGATTACCTCGAATCAAGCATGAAATAAAAGCCAACCGCACTCTCGCCGTGGTGATAGGAGTATGCCTTCTCAGTATCATACCGTTGTTGGTTGTGACATGCCTTCGCTTTTTTGGGAAGCTGCCAGAGTGTGGCCATCCAGAACGTAGGCCTTATAAGTTTATCGTTTACGACGTGGCAACTGGCTTGAACGCCATCTGCAATCCTCTTATTTACGGATGGAAAAATAAAGAATTCAGAAGAGCTTTTGTGAAAGTGCTGAAATGCACTTAGAACGTTTACTTTCCTAGGCAGTCCTAGGAGGAAAGTGAAAACTTTTGTTGCTCTGGAAAGCATTCTGACTGACAAAACTTTTTAAATGGAGCATTAAGTACATGTTAATACGTTAGTAAGTAAAATAGTAAGAAGCTTATTTTAACACTTACTACCTAAGAGCTGAAAAACTCATTCGAATCTGCACGTCATTGCAATATTTCTAGTGGTTCCAAAAGGAAATCTAAGTGCTGCGAGCAGATCATCTTCAGTAACACGCGTTATATTCTATGTATCTTCTCACTTCGGTTCGATTTGTATATGTACGTTAATAGTAATAATAAAACTAATATAGCGCAGATACCAATATTGCTAATATTGCAGCGCTTCAAAATGAAAATAGTTGAAAAAAAACAAATGACCAAGACTACCTAATGTATACAAAGTGTATGAGCCTAACAAAAAGAGTTTTAAAAACAATTACGTCAACACCAAAAATATAAAAATTACCTAGACTACTTAAATCGTAAAAAAGATTGCTTAAAACCTCCTTAAAACGAGATTAAAAAGCACATGAAATTACAAAAAAGCTTCTTGAAATAAAAATGTCTTGAGTGTCTTTTTAAAAGGTGTTACTGAGGGGCTACTCCTAATCGTATAGGGCAATGAAGTCTATAGCTGAGGAGCAGCAGCAGCAAAAGATCGATCTCCTAACGCTGTTAAAGTCTTGAATTTCACAGGGTTTAGTAGCAGTCCAACACGATCCGCGCGTAACTTGTATTTACATACTTCTTTAACATTAATGTATGTTTACGAGAGTATCGTCCTACGTCTTATTTAGGTCACAATTTCCTGCTCCTTGCACTCAAAGCCTTTTGTAAATGACCCAATTCTTCGAAAAAAGCCCAGCAACTCCTGTTCGTGACAAGTAGTACAAGTAGGCACTAAATAAGAAAAAACACTAAATAAGGAAAAAACATATCAATCTTTCTAAATAATCGATAAGTCAAGTGAGAAGTGAATCGAGTACAGCAAATGTTGAGCAAGCGTTTCAATTGTCAGCTATTTTGTTGAACGTCACAGTGCACGAAAGCGAGGCAAAATGTCCTACTAACATCTGGTGACGGTTTGAACTAGTATCTGAAAAGACTACGGAAAAATTATAACTATAATGTCTCAATATCTGCTTTCGACTTTAGGGGAACGCAACTCCTATTCTTCGGAAACCTGTGGTACTTGGTCGTCTTGAAGTAGTCAGCTTAACCTTTTCATCAAGATTTTCCGTCGTTCGTCTGTATTTTCGGTCCGTGTACTCGTATGTTTATAATGTTTAATCGACGTCTGATATCTTGCCAAGCAATACAAGTTTAATTGGCCTACTCGCACTGAATGAAGACGAACATTTCGCTCAATGGCAAAATATTTTGTACCTTAACCGATGTTAGATTCATTCACATCTGTTATCTCGCAAAAACCCTTAATATATGTTTCTGACGCTATAACGACTAAAAACGCTCGCTTGTTGCAATATACTCATGGACAAACAAAACCTTCCTCGATTATTAATTGCAGGTTTACCCTGTGGTTCTTTGTTTTGCTGAAAGGCAATTTTGTGTACCGTCAAATGATCTAATAGACTCCTGGGACGTCTATTTATTGTTGGGAACCCAAGCGGGGGCGTTTGATAAACAGGATGCGTTTAAAAGAAAGAGGCGTTTATTACAGAGATCACGTTTACTCGGCGGTGTCGAAGTTTTCCCCTTAATAGTCGTTTACTGTTTATTACGTCTACTCAAAACTATTTTGTTCCACGCCAGCTTTATCCATAAGAATTGTTCTGAACAGTTTGTATCTTCTTATTTTCTATTCTGAGCAATTCTCAAGTTAAATCTGCCGTTTGCCGTTTGCCATGAACGAGACTCTTAATCTCTTTGCTCTCATAACTGTAACAAGCTCCACAAAAATAAAATGTATTCGACGAATATACCACCACAGTATATAATTAAATAGCAGACTATCCACTCCATCGGCATTAATACGTCTAGACCCTGTGTTTTTCAATCCTCAGCTTTTGATGTCAGAATCCTTACTGTGAACTTGATTTGACGTTGAACAAGATGCAATGCGCATACTTTCTTGCTAATCAAAAAAAGAAACTGAATAAATTGAATTGCTTTTCTCGTTTTTGCTAATTCTTAGCATTCTGGAATAATTGTCTTGGAGCTCGAGGGCTTCTATTAGACGTTGTGTCCGGTTTTCGTATTGGGAATTGAATTGAGCGTTTTTTAGAAATTGCATCCAAACTTCATCTGTTTATATTATCTGAGTCGAAATACTGAAATGCCGTTGTCGTTTTAAGTAATAACAGTGGTGTGTATACTAAGTCAAGTAGTATAGTAGGGATGAAATTAATTTTTTTGCGGGGGAGCTCAGTAACTTGCGAGGGAATACATTAATGCCGATGACGTCATAACCTTTTGTCTTCATCTCATGAATAAAATGCGCAAGAATTTCGTTAACATAAGGTCGTGTGTTATTATAATGCACCTATCAATGTAAATCCCGTGGTGGGGGAATGAGTGCGGGCAAGGGGAGGGGATTTGATGCCTGGGACTATCCTCGCTGTCGGGCTTTTGATCATGCGAAGCGACCCCGGGGTCGGGACATTTGACTTTGACCGACAGAAGCCTGGTATCAATTCAGAAGCAGTTACCAAGTCCGTCCCTCGAGGCTTCCTGAAAGTCACGCTGTTGGAGGAAGGTATGAAGTTTTCATTTGTTTTAATCACCATAATCCGATACTTTAAACTGTCATCTAAACAGATAATGTCTATTTTGAGAAAGTTTTTATCTTCAAGTTCCCATCTGATTGTAAAACTCCACCATGAAAGTCAGAGGATTTTTATGGGTCACTGATCCGACCTGTTCCGACATGTTGAGCAGCTGTTTTAAAGCATTTTACGTTTTATTAATATTATATAGCACGGTCAATCCTCCTGGAGTGATTTTATTGTTCAAGATAACAGATGCTAGTGGAGAGAGAATACCTAATTACAGCGAGTAATTTAATGGAGCTTCCGTTAACCGTAAATAAAAGTAGTAACAACGTGTTTGAAATGTTCTTTTATTCGTTTTATATAGCATTATAGCATTGTTTGTTTAGATTTTTCCCCCTGGGTTGGAGGCTTTTTTGACACTTTTGATTGACCTTTCGTTTCCCACCCTGGGGAATTTGATCGAAGAATTTTAAAATTTGTCAAATCCCCACCCCTTGCCCGCACTTTCCCCTCACGGGGTTTACATTGATAGGTGCATTGGTTGAGAGAAAGGTAATAAATATGCAAATCCTACACTTTTATGCACTCTGATAAACATGTCCAAACTTGTCGTACCTCTCCATTGTTTCCGACTCAAACTCGGGACCGCCGGATTGCGAGTCCGATGCGCTGACCCTCGGTCACGCTGCCTCCCGTACTAC